CTCTCAAAACTTCCTGCTTGAAGCACATCCATCCCTCCTGAACCCCCTTGTTTTCAAGGGTTGTTTCCCAGGGTATGCTCTGGACTAGACTTCTGAATAGGTCAAAATCTGCCCTCCGGAAGTCCAGCGTAGAGGTTTTATTGTTGGCTCGCCTTGAATCTCTGAGTATTGAAAATTCTATTATTTCATAGTCACTATTTCCCAGGTGGGAAATAGCAACAAACCACCAGCACTCTCACTGGTTTTTCCTTCTTCTTCATGTTCTTGCAGAGAATGAGCTATAAAGTCTTCGTACTGATTCACATCCATCTGTGTTTAGGTATTCTTTGCCCATGACACCAGTTGTGTACCTAACCACAATGCTTTGCACTGAAAAACATTATATCTGAAGTTTTTTGTACGATGAATCAAAATCCACCCTTGTACTCCCCTACCAGGAAACACTGACTGGAAAGCAAAACTAGTATTTTGATATACTTGACGTGTTTGTGCTTATAAAATCCACACAGGCACACCCGGTAAAAGACAAAGAATACTCTTTTCCCCTTGCTTTCTGCCAGGTAAGCAAGACTTCCCTCTTCCTTAGTAAACAAGTTATGTTACGATCAGCATGGGACATGAATATACGAGTTTTATAGCTCTGGTGATTTACTTCCAAATCTTTTGTTATTATATTAAAATATCACTGAAAGATATAACGGTTAATATTTGTGTTTGATATGCTTGCTTCATCTAAATTAAGGACAATTTGTTGATTACAAATTCAAACGCTGCAAGACAAACTTCACACTACTGCAAATTTGTCTCCAGCCATTATGAAAATGTGTATCTTTCACACACTATACTCATAATAACCAGATATTCTCCAGCAAAAACATGAGCTGTCAGGTGATAACTCTGAACACAGTCCAAAATAAAACTAGATTTACTAATATAGTTAAATACATGATATCAATTACATTAAAGCTCACTGGAACAAGGTGTGCATGCGCAATCCTTGAAATTAGAGTAATTTTAGAAATACTCTAAATGAACTTGCTTTATAGGAGTGAAGTAAGTCACTGTCACGTTCAATTGGAGATAGTAGCTTGAACTGCCAATCCACTGGCTAGAAATCTAAAAGCAGCAGATCCTGTCCTCTGATGTCCAGCAAAAAAAGGTCTACCACATGCCCTTGTCTTTTGACAACACCCTACACAGAAGATCTGTCTCCTGGCAGATGTCAGAAGAAATTTCATCCCCATCCTCTAGCTCTGACCCTACAATGAACTTTCTGTACCTGTACCAAGTCCTCCATCACCAGATGCTGGCTGGGAATGAGATT